CCATGCTCTTGTGGCGGGTTATCACCATGTACAAGGACACAACTGTAAGTATTCTCTGGCAGTTATTTTTTATTTGATAAAGGAAGTGTTCGTGTGACGTTTATGCACATGTTTTTTGTCTTCCAGATTCCATTACCTCTACCAGACATCAACCCATGCAGGAAATCACCTAGATTGGCACAAAGGAAAGAAAACAGGGAAAGTACAAATGCAACACCCATAAGAAGCGCTTCTCATGGCCTGAAAAGATTGCCGTTTGAAGTCCTTGAACAAAATTCTCCTGATTCAAGTGTTTCTAAGAAAGGAAAATTTGAGAACAAGTGCACTTTTTCAAACAAATTTCCTCGCGTTGGAGACAATGCTTATGTCAGAGTAAGTTGTCTGCTAGGTTTTAATATATATTTTTTATGAAGAAGTTCCCCCATTTAATGTGCCATTCTTCCCTAGATTCCAATACGCAAATCCCTCTCAAGTAGACCTGACCTCATCATGGCCATGTCCTCTGGGGTGCTACTAGCCAAGCAGCGAAGGGAAGCTGTAGACTTGCTACTGACTGCTATGTATAAACACATTCAGACTTGGTAATTTTTTTTTTCATTTTATGCATTGAAACCAACCAAATAATGTTTACTGATACTTTCTTTCTGGCTCCTCAGGTATCCTCACAAAGAGGCCAAATTGCAGCTCGCAAAAGACATTATAGAAACATTTCCCAAATTAAAGGCTGTGGCTGGAGATGCTTGGGTAAAGTTGATGATAATGCTTCATCTTATTGGTTCTGAAATGGTCTGTAGTGTTATTCAATTTCTTTTTTTTATTTCTCTTACAGGGTGCTTTCTTTGATCGATCGGGTGGACACATTCAACAGGCTTTGAATTCTAAGCGAACAGCAATGAATGTGAGAAAGCGGCAAACATCCTCATCCAAGAAGACAACAACCAGCCAAGATACAGAAATGCCAGATAAATTAACTGATAACAAGGCATCGACTTCATCTTCAAGCGAGTCGAGTAAAGTAACTGGTACCAAGGCATCTACTTCTTCTTCAAGCCAGTCAAGTAGTTCTGCGAATACAGAGGAGCCACCACAACTTCAAACGCCTCAGCTGTCTCGAGAAATTGAAATAAAGGTGAGTGTTTCTCTTCTGTTTCAAAAATTAATTTCAATTTTATAGGTGCTGTCACAGCTTTTAAGCTGGTTAATTTGTGTAATGCCATTAAGTGAGTATATAGATAGAATTGTAAATAAGTCTACAAGTAATAATTTGCTCCTGATGCACTTAAGATTGAGCCTCATTAAGGAATAAAAAGAGCTTTTATAAATCTGCTATATATGAGGAGCAGTCTTGCACTGCTCTCTATATGTAATAATAGATTTCAACGAGCTATTTCCATTCCTTGGTTGCGCTCAATCTGAAGTACATTGGGTGCAAATTTTTACTCTTAAACTTCATTTTTTCTCACTTTATGCCATTACACAAATGAACCATTTCAATCAGTTTAGAAAAATATCATTGGTCTAAATGAGCCTACTGTGGTTCCACATTATTCTTTTTTTGTGTTAAGTCTTTTTTTCCTTTTTCTACAGATTGTTAATCTATCTTTAATCCCTGACACAAAAGAAAATAGAGGTGTCATTTTTGAGGAAATGGAAGCTCTACACCATGTACGTCAGAATATGCTTGCCCATGGAAAAACTCCAGAGGACATACTTAAAACATTCCCAAGAATGATGAGCTACGAAGGAGCGCTGGTGAGATACTAACAATATTTTCACTTTGAGTTTGTGACATTAAATAACTCATTTCATTCCATCTCCTCAAATTCCAGATTGATTTAGACTTTGATATACTCAAGGAAAACATGAATAATAATATTTTGGGTACCTTCAAAGTTGTTTATCAAAATGCCATTCTGCGGTATGTGACAAAGTTTGCTCCTAAAGTGTCTGAAGCCCTTTCCTCATATGAAGATGGTAAGAGCAACTCCCTGAGATTGAACGAGTCTTGGTCAATACCCAATTTTGGGCGAGGAAAACTTAATCATCCCAATTTGGGTGATGAAATAAGATGTATCTGCTACCTACATAGGCAGTTATTATTACCTAATTTTGGATGATTAGATGATTCTCTCCCAAATTTGGGCTATGAAGACTTCCTCACCCTAAAATTTAGTCCTGCTTTTGACACTTTCATTCTCAGTGCTAGTACAATTACAGTGTTACTGCAATGAGAAGGTTGATTTGTGTAATGGCATTGATGGAGGGAAAATATAGAATGCCAAATGAGTCTACGAGTAGGAATTTGCACGTACTGTATATACTTTGAATTGTGCGTTATGAAAGAATCATGAGAGATTTTTTAACCCCGTTAAATATAAGGAACAGATCAAGACCTAGAGAAGCAAAGAATCAAAGGTGAAAGTGTTTAGGTTCAACAGTGTGAAATAAAATTGCCACCGTGGGAAAGCCAAATTGCTAGTTACTGCCGTGGCAATTATACTTCACACTATCAAACCTTAACACGTTCACCTTTGATTTTTTGCTTCTCTAGCTCTTGATCTGCTCCATATACTTAACAGCGTTAAGAAATCTCTCATAATTCCTTCATAATGCTTAATGTAAAGTACATAACATGCAAATCCCTACTCACAGACTCATTTAGTATTTTTTATTTTCCCTCAGTAATGCTATCACACAAATTAACCATCTCAATCAATTTAACAGGAATATTGTTTGTCCAATGAATCCATTGTGGTAGCACCTTTACATATCTTTTGTGTCATTGTTTGATTAGGTGTAAAAATAGAACTAGTGTCGTTTGTTTTGTGTACATTTGCCCAATACTTCCCTCTCTAGCACCTCTTTATTTCCGACTTTTTATTGCAGATGAGCTGAAGTCACTTCTTGCTTTGGTTGCAATTCTCCCTAAGTATCCCTGTCAAAGCTACTCTTTCCCAAAAGAGGTAAAGTTAAGGTTCAGCCTTTCAGTTATATCATTGAATTATCTTGTTATGTTTCCATTTTGAAGTGCTGTGTCTGTGTATTTCAGGGGAAAAAAACAGCAACAAATGGAAAGCGTGGCGGCAAAGAAGTATTACCTCCAAATGTGAAAGTCACTGCGAGAAATAATGTGCCTCACCCTGCACTTCTTCAAGTCATACCTGTGAGTTCTTGTGCTTTTGTTTAATTGCAATGCTTTACAAATATCTACTCTCTATCATCATTTTTTTTTCTAGAGTAATGAAGATGTATCCACTCATCAATCAAAGTTCTTCAGGACTAAACCAGATGGCACAAAAATTGTGCAGCCTTATCTTGTCTTCTCAAGTGATGACAATGAACAAGGAGAATTCTATATGAAGGCCAACTACCAAACTTTCCATGTGGGCCCATCTGCGCTTCGAGCTGTGTCAGTTTTATTTAAATACCATACAGTATTTGACCTTGAGTATGATATTGACTTGCTTCATTTCTATGATTTTTTTGAGTTTTTAGTGGGTATGAAAACAAAACTTTCTGCTCAAACCAATAATTTCCTTTCTACACTTCAGAGTCTGTCATAGTTCAGTGTATGTTTGATTTTTTACTGTTAGATTTTATTTTTGAACCTAACAAGACTCTTAATATTTCCCTGTTTTCTATTCAAGAATGTGCCTAGGTAGTAGTTATGAATTATCAGGTTCTTGCTCTGTGACCCATTTATTCCCTTCTACTGATTCAAAAAGAACAAATCTATAATTATTCCTCATATTTGTATAATATTCTCTTAAATTTTACTTCCTCATATTTGTATAATATTCTCTTAAATTTTACTTTCTACGATTCTTTTGCTTCTGATCATTTATTGCTCGAGTAAACTTGGTTTTACCTGTAACAGTTCTGACTATGACTTACTGATCTAAGTTCTTTTAATGAGACTCTAATCCGTTTTTCCTTCATAGTCAAATGAAGGTTTTAGTTGTTTGCTTGTATGTTTTGTTTGATTTTTTACTGTTATATTTTATCTGTTAACTTCACAAGACTCTAAACATTTCCCATTCAAGAATGTGCCTAGGTAGTAGTTATAAATGATTAGTGCCTTGCTCTGTGATCTGTTTTTCCTTCGACTGATGTATATATTATATATATTTACTTATGCAAACTTCCTGAACTTGGTTCTTGTATCAAGACTCTAAACATTTCCCTGTTTTTTCATAGTCAAATGAAGGTTTTAGTTGTTTGCTTGTATGTTTTGTTTGATTGTTTACTGTTATATTTTATGTGTTAACTTAACTAGACACTTAACATTTCTCATTCAAGAATGCGCCTAGGTAGTAGTTATAAATAATTAGTGCCCTGCTTTGTGATCCATTAACTCCCTTCTAGTGATTCAAAAAGTACAAATCCATATTTATTCTACTTTCTGTGATTCTTTTGTGATTGCTTCTGATCATTTATGGCTCGAGTAAACTTGGTTTTACCCGTAACAGTTCCAACTGTATGACTTATTGATCAAAGTTCTTTTAATGAGACTCTAATCCGTTTTCATTAATATCTGTGTCTCTTTTGAATTTGAATTTTACTCGCTGTGGTTCCTATGAATGCTTGTGAACTTTTATTGATTGAGTAAACTTGGTTTTAGTTACAAATGAAACTATGTCTTGATTTTATTCACCTGATCAAGTACTTCAGCATCGTCATACTTCCTCACATGTACACTTAGCCATTCTTCAATTGAGACTGAACTCTAACTTTCACAAATTTTTCCCGATTGGCAGATCACTGGGAAACAATTTGTAGCCTATGCGAGTAATTTACGTGGAGGAATCCATCTCCACTGATTGCTATGATCTTGTTTGGAGCAGGGATGAATGGAACTCAACAAAACAATTTAACAGTCTAGTTTATTAACAGGGATTCATCCCAAGAGTACACATGGCTCACAAACACACACAGTTTAAAATGAATTGAGTTTATTCAATACAATTTACAAAGATTGAAGTAAAGTCAGCCTCTGAATGTTCTATGAACTGATGACAATACTTTCGGGTGGTTCACTTCGGTTAACTTACAAACAAAAATGGGAGCTGAATCAAACCCGTTTAATTCAAGGAGTATATTTGGGGGTGCAAATACTCGTAACATTTCATGATTGATGCAACAGTGAGAAACACAACTGCTTTAGCACTGGTCTCTAATTTAGATTTAAGATACATATCACTCCAATAATAAAGTGTTTGCTACTGTCAGCTTCTCCAAATCAAAGGATGCACCTCGTATCATTGCTATGAAAGCGCACACCCGAATAGTATTTATTAGTAAACCTGGACTGATGTGTTGATTTATCTTCATTACTCTGCAAATGAGGAACCATTGTTGTAAATTCATACGCAAATAGCCAACACAAAATTATATCCAAAGTCTTAAAACTTACTCAAAATTATGAAGAATAACCAGTGTATCACACACTGGATGCTCGCACACAAATATCTCTGGAGTATGCTGCCATCCCTGCCAGTATATAAATTCCTACAACAACATAATGCTATGGTTAACTAAGGAAAAGCCAAAGAAGTGAGAAAGAGGTCAGGCAGTCACAAGCAAATGAATTTTACCTTTTAATTTTGATAGGAACAGAAGGCCAAATGTCTCTGGGTCTAAACACAAATACTTGCTGAGATCCACGTAGCTTTCACTTGATGTTGGAGTGGCAGAGAATAAGTTTCATCCCAAAACAGCACCACCTGCAACATAAGTTGAAAATTTTAAGTGAAGAAACAAAATGCACTGAATAAAAAGGCGTTGAACACAGCACAGCAAGGGGGGGAAAGTTGTCCATTCATCCAAAATTTGTTTATTATGCCTGTGAATCAGCACATTGGGCTGGACGTTGTTTTAAATTTAGGCCACGCTGCTCCATTTCTAGGAATATTTTTCATGGAAAGTGCAGGCCAAATTTCAAAACAGCGAGCATACAAATACGCTTGTACTTGTTGGCAAAACGTAAACAAATCCTTTCGCAGGTTACGTACACACAAACACACATACGTTTTATAGGTTATGGGATCGCACTTTGGGTGAATACCCCGGTGAAAGCAGGGTAAAATTCATCTTAAATGCTCAGTACAAATAAAAATAGTGGGAGAGCAAAGCAGCGCAAAAGCCAAGGAAATCAATGACAACTTACGCTAACGATGCTCGTGGCAACGTAAACAACACTTGGTAAATGAGGAGCCACTGTAAGTCGAACAATCCCATACTCAAGTGATCGGCCACAATAAAATATTCAAATATTTGAGCGAAAGTCAGAGATCTCAAATCGTTCATTTCTTTGGTAGTTTAAACAGCAGAACACTACCACAATGTTGCCATTCGTATGCCTGAAATTATTCACAGTTTGTCCGTAGTTGTCAGAAAGGCCACCAGATGTCACTGTGTGTCGTGTTTCCGTTCCGGGCGTTCCGGGCTCGACGCGCGCTCGACGCGCGCTCGTTGAACTACGACGGGAAGCCAGCACGCTCGACAGGAATCGTTCGAACGAGCCCGGTGTTCGATGCGCGCTCGTCGAAGCACGACGAAAAATGTCCCGATTGCTCCCGTCGAATCTTCGACGCGCTCCCGTCGTAGTGTCGAAGAAATTCTTAGCGTGTACGTATCAGAGTCAAGAACCTGTGTAGCCCCAATCCGACTGACTGACTCACTGACTCACTCACTCATAGAAATGTTTGGGGTCCAGGTGTGGTCGTAGAGACTTGCGGTTTTTTCCATTCGATTCCAAATTTTATGAGAAGATGGGAAATAATCCGAAAAGTTGAAAATTCCTCACCGTTTCCGAGCAAACCTACTCAATCTTCAAATAACAGGAAAAGTAGCGATATACATCGGCAACTTTGGCCCGTCCCGTACATTAACAAATGTGTGAATTTCGCCTTTGTTTAACCCTGACGAATTTAAACCAGGGTCTAGGGTCAAAATAAATGTCGTTTTCGTCATCAGCACCCTCAAAAACATCAGAAACAATGCAAAAACTCGAATAAAAAGAATGTTCCGAAAATACCCCACTGGGATTTGAACCCGAGTCCGAACTTCTCCGATTCGTTCGAAGGTGGCACCATTGGTTTTTTCTCGTCGCACCGATTCCAAAAATACCCCTACATGCCCTGCTAGCTGCATCCGTTGCCGAGATCCTCCTCGACCCCATGTAGACCATGATGCACCTGCAGCAGCGCTCCGGGGCTCGGATCGGATTTGCTGCCACCGGGCGGTTCTTAGGGTCACCCAAGGAGGCTGCATACCAAATTTGGTCAAGATCGGACCACGGGAAGTCCTCGGACGAACGAACGAACGGACGAACGAACGAACGGACGCACAGCATGCATCATACTATATGCCCGTCCCTCCGTCATTTTTTTACAAAAAATAAACGGGACGGGCCAAAAAAAAGACCGACCGACTGAAAATTTTTATTCCCCCTATAGGTAGGTCTGGTCGAGACATTTCCGAAACTGTGCCGCAATTGGGTCCCCGTCGCCGGCAACATCCTCAAAATCATCAATCAAGAACCTTTATAGCCCCAATCCGACTGACTGACTCACTCACTCATAGAAATGAACACACATCTTATCCTGGTCAAAGCAGTCTTCAATATTTTCCGGACCATGCACCTATTGACTGCCACAGTAGCGAATGCAATTCAAGCTATCTTTTTGGGCAGTAATAGTAGCTTAAATATATGATCAAAAGCAGTTAAAACGGCCCCCCAAAAACGCAGTACATTTACTTCCTTAGAAAATTTGTCTCTGGTCACCACGGACCTACTTAAAATACTTCGGTATGCGCCCCACACATGCGGGGGTCTGGGGGGCGGAGCCCCAGCGAGCGTCGCGAGTACACACCAACAGATGCATACCTAACCTCTCCAAGTATGCATCTGCAGATGTGTGCACGGCCAAGTATGCATCTGTAGATGTGTACTCAGCTAAGTATGCACCTGTAGGTGTGTACTTGCAAGTATGCATCTGTAGAGTTGTACTCGGCCAAGTTTTTGGTTTAATGGTGTGAGCTTCCTATTTCTCTTGTTTTGTACTCTGGACACTAAGGGTTATTGAAAAGACGACTTTTTTGAAATGTATACCGGCCCACGCGGAAAATGGTTCCCCTACATGTTAAAACTATCCTAGGAACAAGGGGAGCCCGATCAAAAAATGCCTAGGGGTCGCCCTACCTTTTTTAAGGTTGAATTTCGGCGTAGTTTTTCAGAAGTCCGAGTTTTAACGCTCCATGGGCTCTAAAAGCCCTGCGGTGCGTCTTAGCCGCTGGGTATCGATTGGCACTTCTTCTACTCAAGTTCCGGAAGAAAATGAGACCTATTGGGGTTGATTTGGTCGCACGTTCAAAGATCTGCACCAATTTTTTTGCTCTAAAAACGCGTTTTTTGTGCCTTTTTTTACATTTGGAGGGCTATTAAAGCTTCTGGTATTGTTCAAAAAAATTCGAAGTGAATGGTTCTTATAGAGAAAAGTCTGGCCTTTCCAACGAGCCTAGGCGGAAGATTGTGCGATTTTTAGTTTAGGCGCTAGAGCAGCTCAAAGTGTGTTAATGATTCAAGTTTTCCTAGAAAACAGCGCTATCGCATGTGGAAGACGTAGGAAATGGTCAAAATACAGGAAAAAAGTTAAAAATAAATTGTCTGCAGAGTATTAGTGTGAGTGAATGAATAAGACCGTCGAAACCCACCGCACCATAGCGTCCCTCCAAACTTTCACTTCTGTGGTCGTTCTCGCGCGCGGGAGTATGACGGTAGGATACGTGAGGTGGAATGGGGAAGCCTGCCGGTTTGGGGGGGGGTGCTGGCGTTAAGTTCCGAAACACCCGGTACCTCGTGTAGTGCAACCGCTGCTGCCACCGGCCGGCAGAGCGACCGAACGCATCAGCTGTCAGTCTGTTCGGAACGTCAAATTGGGATGGCGCGTCGCAAGACCGCGAGGACCGCGTGCTGCGCAGTTCGCGGTCAGGGAGGAGTTGACGTAGTGGAAAAAAATTTCTTCGACACTTGTCGTAAGAGGTGGGTGACCAGAAAAGGCGCCTGCATACATCAGTCCGTGTTAGATGAACCAATTACTTAGGGTTTCACAACACAGACCTTTAGGACATGCTGTCGATAATAGAAGAATATTATGCACTAAAATAACAAGTGGATTAAATTTATCATTTTTATCAATTTTTGTACAAATTTTCACCCACACCTCACCTTAAAGATCCTCCCCCATGTCCTTGAACTGCGCAGCACACGTCCGCCCGAGGTCTTGCGACGCGCCATCCCAATTTGACGTTCCGAACAGACTGACAGCTGATGCGTTCGGTCGCTCTGCCGGCCGGTGGCAGCAGCGGTTGCCTACACTAGGTACCGGGTGTTTCGGAACTTAACGCCAGCAGCCCCCACCACGGCAGGCTTCCCCCATCACTGTGGCAAAAAGCTACGGAAAATTCTGTGAACAGCTTGTGGTAATTCTCTGTAGCCCTCTTGTCAGTATTCTCCGTAGGCTCTCACAGTGATCTCCGAAGACCATACAGTGTTCCGTCCTACGGAGAAGAATGTGCGGTCGTGCGGAGAATACTGTACGGCCTAACGGAGAATACTGTAAGAGGGCTACGGAGAATCCTGGCATAAAAATTAACAGAATTTTCCGTACCTTTTTGCCACAGTGATTCCACCTCACGTATCCTACCGTCACTACTCCGCGCGCGAGAACGACCACAGAAGTGAAAGTTTGGAGGGACGCTATGGTGCGGTGGGTTTCGACGGTCTTATTCATTCACTCACACTAATACTCTGCAGACAATTTATTTTTAACTTTTTTCCTGTATTTTGACCATTTCCTACGTCTTCCACATGCGATAGCGCTGTTTTCTAGGAAAACTTGAATCATTCACACATTTTGAGCTGCTCTAGCGCCTAAACTAAAAATCGCACAATCTTCCGCCTAGGCTCGTTGGAAAGGCCAGACTTTTCTCTACAAGAACCACTCACTTCGAATTTTTTTGAACCATACCAGAAGCTTTAATAGCCCTCAAAATGTAAAAAAAATGCACAAATAACGCGTTTGTAGAGCAAAAAAACTGGTGTAGATCTTTGTACGTGCGACCAAATCAACCCCAATAGGTCTCATTTTCTTCCGGAACTTGAGTAGAAGAAGTGCCAATCGATACCCAGCGGCTAAGACGCACCGCAGGGCTTTTAGAGCCCATGGAGCGTTAAAACTCGGACTTCTGAAAAACTACGCCGAAATTCAACCTTAAAAAAGGTAGGGCGACCCCTAGGCATTTTTTGATCGGGCTCCCCTTGTTCCTAGGATAGTTTAAACATGTAGGGGAACCATTTTCCGCGTGGGCCGGTATACATTTCAAAAAAGTCGTCTTTTCAATAACCCTTACTGGACACAAACGAAACAATTCTTACCTGTGGGAATGAGGCCCCATGTTTTTTAGAATGATCCCTGTTCATATTTGCTGGTATCTTGTCTGTCTAAACTATTCATGGTTCTCAGTCTTGGTTGTTGACGCACCCTTCAGTTTTCTGTCCCTTTTCTCATTGCTAGCTATGCTATCTTCTGAAGAAAAAACGTCTGTTCATAAGAAGTCCAAAGTTTCTAAACTGGCTACCCTTCCCTCCAATCTGATTGATGAGGAGGCAGTGGAGGAAGGAAAGGTATGATGTGTCAATGTTCTCAGAAT